CGGGGACACCTCGTGGCTGCTGCTCCAGTGTCCTCCAGCAGAGTGTGGTGCRTTTTTTCCCCCCTGAATACACGGCCGTCCTTCTGATGGCCTTAGCACAGCTGGCTGGAACCTTGTGGGTTAGTGGTCCAGATGGGCCTGGGAGAGGTCTCAAGCMGTGCCCCTCAGACCCTCGGGTTTTCCAAAGGGTCCAGCTGGTAGGAAGCAGCCCAGTGGTTAACATAGCCACGGAGTGGTTGTCTGTCCAGGAGCGCTCACCGGCCCGTGCTCTGCCCAGCCCCTCCTGCGCTCTCCCCGCTCTCCCTGGAGGCTTGCTGGCAGTGCCGGGTCAGCAGTGTGGGCCAAGTCTGTTCTCGCTCCTGGTCTAACGGAGCCTCTGCAGCCTGCGCTAGCATTGTGAAAAGCCCTGAGAGGTGCAGAGGCCCCTTTCTGGTCAGGTGCACTTGAGGGGTCTCTCTATGGGACATGATTGGTGCTTACTTGGCATTCTGCGGGAAGTGGCCCCCACAGCACCCATGGACAAGGCCGGTGTCCTCCTGGCTGGCCTGAGAGGCCCACTGTGAGCCACCCCCATGTGTTGAGTTGGGAGGGCAGGGCTGGGGCTCAGTGGGGGGGCCTGGGAAGCACATGTCTGCCACACTCCAGGTCCCAGCTCTGAATCTCCCCCGAGTCCCTCCATCCCCAGGTTGCTTTATCTCTGGAATGAAGACCGAGTTTCTMTTGGGCCCAGGCCTCCCCATAATGTTGCCTCGAGGGTGCAGTGATTGACAGGAGTYCTGCCAGCCACTGTCACTGCTCTGCCTTCCTCACACCAGTCCTGCTGAGCAGCTGGGCTCCCTGTCCCCCGCTCAGTGTCCTGCAGGATGAGACAGCACCAGCAGAGAGCACCACAGATGAGGGAGGCCTGGCAGCACGCCCCGCTATGAGCCTCTCGCACTCCTCCCTGAGCTGCTGGTCTGCRGGGGGCCTGCAGGTCTGTGATCCAGCGAGCGACTCGGGCAGGCCCCTGGCTGGGGTGGGGGGCACGACTGGGCTGGTGTCCCAGCTGGAGCTGGCAGGGTCAGTCCTGATGCAGCCAGTACTCGTGGCTCATGGACTCTGTGTTTGTGAATTCGCCCCTTTGCTGAAATCATCTCTAACCCCCAATCAGTACTGGGCACACTTTTGTGGTTAGTGGTGGACATTTGGAAAATGTGTCCCCTGCACACTGGTTCCCGGYGAAGGGTGCAGGAGGAGACCTGTGTCCTGCCTGTAGATCTGAGTCTGTGGGCCCACGTGGTGCCGTGGGACTCACACCTCCTGCTTTTTGTGGGTGACTCATGGTGCTGCCCRGTGCAGTGCCCAGATACTGCCTGGCCCAGCACAGGAGGGCCAGGCCATGCGTCACAGAGGTGTGTTCAGTTGAGGAATGAGCTCCRTGTGGAATAAAAGGCCTTTGGACAGAAACCTGCCTTGAGGCCATGAGTGGTCACTGGTGATGGCATAGTGACCAGAGGCTACTGGAGCCTGCCCAGTATTGCCCCCAGGAGCAGGGTCCCGTGTGCTCATTCAGTGCTAGAGGCTCTGTTGTGGGACACAGCCCCTGAGGAGCCCAGCCCGGAGCCTGTCACGTGGAGCGCAGCTGTCSGTGGTGCTGCCTGAGTAAGTCTGTCTCAGCTTCAGGGGCTGCATCTGCTCCAGGAGTCCATCCCCTGGATTCCAAGGTGGCGTTCCCTCCAGCCAGGTGGCAGGTGCCATGGTGTCGATACTGGGGGTGGAGATGCCAGAGGCGCAGAGGTGAAGCGGCAGAGCCTGAGCCTCTCAGTGCGTTGACCCCCGACAGGGATTAGCTGGGTGGTGACTGTAGGCAGGGGGGTGTGGCTGGAGGAGGTGGGTCACCCAGGAGGTGCCTGGGGGTTTATATTCTGTGAGCGGAGCTGCTYCTGGGTGCCACCTTCCCAGCTGCTTTCCTCAGCCACACATTTGCGCCATGATGTCCTGCCCCACCTCATACCCCAAAGAATGGAGCTGTCTGTGGACTGAGCCTCTGAAACCATGAACCTTAAAACTTTTCATCCTTAAAACTGATCTTGTCAGGTCTTTGGGTCACAGCAACGAGAAAGCTGCTGAATGCAGGTAGACAGGACGGTGGGTTCTGGAGACTAGGAGGCTCCCTACTGGAKGGCAGCCCCTGGGGCTGGACCCAGGGGACTAATTGCTGGGCAATGGAGGCCTGTGTGTCCCTGGCAGGCTGGCTCTTCCTGCTGGTCTTCCCTGCTGGCACTAGATAGAACAGTGCTGGCCATGCTGAGCTGCGTCCCACTGCCGACAGCCCTGGGTTCTTGGAGCTCATTGGCTCGGGCTGTCCTGGCCCTTACATGCCTGGCCCGCCGTGGCAGCAGAGGGAAGGTAGTGGACTGTGACATGGGCCTGCACCTTCAGCACAGCGGGTGCTGCAACTCCCAAGCCCAGAAGGGCAGAGAAGCGGGGCTCAGCCCTGGCACCTGTGTGAGAATCGGGGCTTCTTTGGAAGCTCACAAGTCAGAAACCCTGAGGATGAAAGGGCTATAGCCCATGGCCCGCGCTCTTCTCTGGTCTGGTTGGGTACTGCATGTATTCAACCTGCATTTATTGTATGCTTGCTGTGTGCATGGTGCTGATCTGGGTCCTGAGATCTAATAGTAACCAAGTTCCTCCTCTGGGAACACCTTCGTGTCAGTGCATGGGTGTGGAATGCCAGGTCRTGATAAGGCTCTGATGGCAGCAAAGCAAGATAGGGGGTCCCTGTGGACATGTTTAACAGGGGCTGGGGGTCTCTGTTAAACATCTTAGGTGACATTTAAGCCAAACCTGGAGGGATGGGGAGGGGCTGGAGGAGGAGGAGGAGGAGCTTGTATCCTGGCCCTAAAGGGAGTGTGTACGGCACTGTGGGCAGCCAGCGTGGCCAGGGAGAGGTGGCCAAGGGGGCCGACATGGAGTGCTTAGGAAGGACTCTGGACTTTTTCCTGATTTGATGGGAAGGGGGCAGCCTGGCCATGGGGTAGAATCGGAGGCTGGTTTACACGAGGTGTTGGCAAGGAGTGTCGCCTGCTGGACTTTCTGATGGTCTCATGGCTTCTGGGATGTGTGCTGCAGGGGTGCTTATGGGCAGGACCAGCATGGGGCCTGGCACACAGCACTGTGGCCTGCTGACCCAGGGTGTGGTCCCTGGTGGGTGGGACCAGGCCCTGTGCTCCAGAACCCTGTGTGTGCCCAGCCACCCTGCTGGGAGTCCCCACAGGCAGGTGGCCTGCTTCAGCTGCCTGATTCCTGGAGCCCAAGGAGATTGGCTGAAGCAGGGATGGGACCTGCTGGATCCTGCTGGGCTTGGAGGTTCCTGGAGAGCCACCAGCAGCAGAAGGTGCCAGGGCCCAGACTCCCCTGATCCTGCCAATCCTGCCTGCACCCCTGGGGCTGCAGCTGCCTGCTGAGTGCGTTTTGGACCCGTCTCAGGTTCAACAGGTTGCTGAGCACCGAGATTTCCCAGGAGTCTGAGTGTGGCACTTGGCAGATCTGTCTCCAGCTCTGTGAACCTGGGTGCCACCTTCATAATTTTGGGAGTGGCTACTGAGGGTTGAACACAGAGGCGCTCTACCACTGAGCTACACCCTTAGCCCCAGCTAATTAGCAAGAAAAAGGCCAGGGGTGTGTAGCTCATTGGCAGAGCACCTGGGCTCAATCTGTAATACAGAAAGAAAAAAAGACCCAGCCTGTGTTTAAAGGGCCAGAGGTTAGTCCAGGAACAGCTATCCTGCCTTTGCCTAATTTTGCAGGGCTCTGGTGGTGTGGACTGTGCGTTGCATGTCGGGAAAGTGGGGCAGGAATTCAAAGGGGTGAGATGTCACGGACATTGGTTCTACCTGGTCCTTTTGAGCCTGGGCAGCTGTCTGTGCTGTGGGGTCTCCTGGCCTGTGCTCCTGAGGCTGACGAGGCTCACTGACCTGGACCCCTCCCTGAGGGAGTCTGCCTTTACCCTCCTACTTGCTGCTCCTGTGTCTGGAGGCCAGGCCAGGCCAGGCAGGGTGTGGGAGCTGGCCACGCCAGGGCTAGTCTTGAGCCCTGGTTCTCTGGCTAGTGGTGTGGCTGGGGCTCTCTGCTGGGGTCTTAGCAGCATGGCTGACCCTCGGGAGGTGGGACCTGGGCAGGTCCTGCTCATGCCACTGACAGCCAGTGAGGCTGGGAAACGGTCCCACTGGCCCTTAGGTTCTCCATGTCAGAGCAGGGACTGGGTCCTTCCAGCAGCACAGTACTAGGCCTAGATCAGAGTGGCACTGGGGTGGGAGGGGACAGCAACAGCTAGCGCACCAGAGGTGAAGAGGGCTCCACGGGGTGTGTTGGTTCTGACCAGGAGGGAGGAAGCCCACCTTGTCAAGCCTGCTATTCCAGGAAGGGCTCTTCCACCCACCGTCTAGTTCACCTAGCTCAGGGGCTGAGCCACCTGCCCACTGTCACATAATGATGTGGCTGCATTGGAATGGTGACCCAGTTCTCCTACCAAAACCTGTGGGCTTTTTCTTCTTGTGCAAAAAAAGATGACAAATATTTATCAAAAAGAAATACCCTCTGTAATGAAGTCTGTGCAAGAATTAAATAAGCAGCCTGCGCAGGGCTCCTGTTTGCCTGGGAAGCAGCTGGCAAAGGGCGGCTGTCCCTTTAAGTCAGATTCTCCTTGGGAATTGCCGCAGCAGCTCGGGCTGGCGGGTGGAGGTGGGGACGCCGCAGCAGCGGTGGTGGCAGTGGTGATGCCTGATGCCGCCTCCAGAGCCCGACTGGGTCCTCCAGGCTCCCTGGGGCCGGCAGCCCAGCTGCTGTCTGACTCACATGGTGGATCGGTTGTGGGGGACAAGGAGCCGCCRGAGCCGGCCTCCGGGGGGCGCCCCAGCCTCTCGGGTGCCTGGCGGGCGGGCGGGCGGGCGGGTGTGGGGCAGTGGGTCAGCTGCTGGGGCTGGGCGGCCGCTCACGGCTCTGGCCTCCCCCTGCAGGGTGCTTCAAGGATGACCGAATCGTCTTCTGGACCTGGATGTTCTCCACCTACTTCATGGAGAAGTGGGCCCCGCGGCAGGACGACATGCTCTTCTACGTGCGCAGGAAGCTGGCCTACCCAGGCAGCGAGGGCGGCGAGGGCAGGAAGGTGGGTGACCCGTGCGAGGCCCGTGCAGGCCAGAAGGACGCCTGTCGGGGCTGGGGCAGTCGCGGTGCCAGGATGGCTGAGGCAGCGATGTCCGTACCACTGCAGCTTTGAGGAGTGCCCAGCCTCTCACTGCGAGGGAACAARTGGCAGTGCCAAGGCCTGAGCCCAGTGTCCTGGGCCTACCCACTGTGGGCAGGGCGGCCCGMGTGTCTGTAGGCGGGACACAGGCACCTCGCAGCCTGGCAGGGTGGACATTGGGCAGGCCAGAGGGGGCTGTGGAGCCGGGCCCACTGCTGAGCCAACGCTCGCTGCCCAGGCAGCCAGTCGCAGCCCTTGCCAGCCTCACATCTGCTCTGAGAGCCTGAATACGTGCAGGACCGGCCAGTGGACAGGCCTGGGAGCCAGGGCAAAGGAACTGACGTGCCTTCCTGCCAGGCTGGCCTTGGAGGGCCCAGCAGGAGACTAGTGGCCAGAGAAGCAGAAGAGCCAAGTGGGGAAGGGCCTGGAGAGGTGGCATGGCCAGTGATGGGACTGGGGACAGGGAGGGTGTAGAGGCCTGGCAGAGCAGTTTCAGTGGTGGGGGGTGAGGAGGAGGCCTGATTGTGGGGCCATCCAGCAGGTGTGGGTTGTGGGACCTCTCAGTCCAGCCACCTCACCTGTCCTTCTGGCAGGCAGTCTAAGCCAGCTGCCTAGACCAGCTTAGCCCCCTAATTGTGGGGTGACACATCTAGTCCCCTCTTAGGCTCAGGGTCTTCTTCCATAAGGGTGGGGCCCTGCTGTCATGTACCCCTGGGTGGCTAGAAGGCTTGGGTGATGTGACTGACCACAGAGATGCCCTTGGCAGGACACAGCTGGTGTCTGGCTCTTCCTCATGAGGGTGACTCTTGCTGTGGGCGCTCCCTGCTCCAGCCTCAGCATGGCCCTGGGGGATGGGACCTTCTCTCCCATAGTCACACTTAGGAGGTGGACGTCCTTGTCTGCCCAGCAGGGAGTAGCTGGGGTAGAAAAGCTCTGGGCCCAGCCTCTATCCCTAGCCCTCCAGCCTGTTGCTGTCTGCTGGAGTCAGGTTGCAAAAAATTCTTTTTGTGAAATGTTGGTCTTTTCCTCAAGGCAAAGGCTACTGTGGCCAGAGGCTGGGAGAGGCCAGGGCCCTGGGAGGCATTCAGAGAGGTGGCAGCTCTGGTCAGGAGGCAGAGGGGAGGTCAGTCTGTGTGCCCTGGGGAGGCCTGGTGAGGCGGGAGAGGGTTGGCAGAGATGGCACATAGAGAAGTGAGAGATGTGAGCCCTCCCCGGGGAAGAGCAGCCTGGGCCCAGGACTGACGAGTTTGGAACAGGAGGGGCAGGGCTGCCTGCAGRTGCTCTTGAAGATGTGGGGGAGTGGAGTCCCACAGGAGCACTGTGCACCCATGGTGAGCCATGTGCAAGTGCCCTTTGCCCCAGCATTGCAGCATAGAAGTGACCCAGAGCTGGCCACTGTCCTTAGGAAGCCCCCTGTCTTATGGAACAGGCAGACATCATGGCCAGTGTGTACAGAGTCACCAGTGCTCTGATGGTGGGGAGAACAGAGAGCCAGTGGGGGCCGCAAAGGAAAGTAACATCTGCCCACAGGATAGCGAGGAAAGCTGTGTACTGTGGACACCCCAAGGGGAAAGACTAGCACCTGTATYATGGGAAGGGGGTTCCAGGTACCTGTGACCCAGGGTGTGACAGTGTGTGACATATGTAACATGGCATTAACATAGTGCCTTTCCGGGTAGCATTTGGTGCAGTATGTGGAGGGCCAAGACCTGCCCAGAATCCCTCTACACAGGGCACTTTTTATAGCTCACCAGGCTGCAGTGCAGAGGATGCCCTGCAGGGGGCGGGCTGGGAGCACAAGCACGGAGCCCCGCCCCATGGAGAACTAACTGCAGACCAGCTTTGTTTGCTGCGCCTGCGCACCCAGAGTCTTCTGCAGCAAGCATGGAGCCAGCTCCCACCCCTTCCCACTCCTCCCTATCCTGTTGGTACCCGGTTGTCATGGTAACCATATGGGCTAGTGGAGGAGGGTGGATGGGCAGAGCCAGTGCTGCAGTGTGGGTGGGCACAGGATGTTGGGATCTCTGCACCCTGCTGCAGGGACACGTTAGGGATCCTGGCCCAGCCTGTCCCAGGAGTGTCCTGGATTCCCTACACTCTGTTTACACCACCCCTGGATGAAATACTCCTGGTGGCCATTTTATCCCTGGCAGTGATGAGCACTGGGGCACCTGTGGCCTACTCTGCTGGTGGCCCATGCAGTGTGCCACTGTCACTCCCATTGATGCCCTCAGCAATCCTGGAGTACAGATTATCTTAAACCCACTCACAGGAAAACCAGAGCTCAGGGACAGGAAGGAGCCTGCCTTGGATCCCACGACGCGGCTCTGCTCCATCCCCTTTTCTCTTGGAGTAGGTTTTCTTGAGCGTAACAGGAATGCGGGAAAGYGCACCGGCCAGGCCAGCGTGCATAGCTTGATGGTCTCTCTCAGTGGGAACACCCGGGGTCGTCAGTCCCCAGATCCAGGCACACCTGAGGCCCTGGCCATCCTCGGCTACCTCCCTCCCCCAGGGCAGGCCTGGCTTCTTGCACCCCTGGACATGGAGTTGCTGCCTCCTCGGTGTCTTCTGGGCTGTGTCTGTTGACTCAGGTGGCTGTGGTTTATCTGGCTGCTGTGGTTTATCTGGCTGCTGCATGCTGTTCCCCTGAGTGTACCACAGCCATCCATCTGTCCTGTGGGTGGACATCTGAGCAGCTTCCAGCACATCCTTGGACCTGTCTTGTGGTGCACACTTGGGCGCTTTGCTGAGGGGACTGCTCTTTCTGCTGTCCAGGGTGCGTGGTTCTGATCTGAAAGTAGCCCCGCGCTTGCGCCTCGTACCTGTCCGTCCACTCACTGGCCAGCAAAGACTTGCAGAGCCTCCACCACGTGCAGAGTCCACCACCCTGTTTGGGGCTGTGTTCTCTTGGAGGAGACTAAACAAATGGGAGCACTGGAGGCAAGGAGAGTGGCCCAGCAGGGCCATGAAGTGTGACCAAGAGCAGCAACAGCCTGGGGCCCCAGGGACCCAGTTCAGAGCTCAGGGGACTTTCTGYTGCACAGGCCGTGGGAAGTGGGAGTCCCGCCTTAGGACATCCTTTCTCTTGCTGAGGCTGAAGCCTCTGGCACCTCTGCATGGGTCTCAGCTCCACCTCCGGGTACCCAGACCTGCACCCCTGTGAGCGGCCCGAGCACTCCCTTTCTGGGGTGGCTGGTTCCCCTTGATGCCCTCTGGGCCTCACCAGGATCCAGGACAGGAGGCCTCCCAGCAGGACAGATGCATCAAAACCTCCTTTTGACTTTTCCCTAACGTTCTTCTCCATGGAGAGGTGCAGGTAGATGCTCTCATTTCTCTTTCATGTGTGCGTATTATTTGACCTTCAATAAATTTGACCTTCATCTGTTACAATGGGACTAATGACACTTGTCTTCTAGGAATGTTGTTAGGTCAAAAAAATAAATAATTCGCAAAACATTGAACCCAACCCCTCCTGGCCACTGTGAGCTCAATAGATGTCACAGTCATTAGTGACACTTAGCAGATACGATCTTTTTTAATCATCACAATAACTTTGAGTGGAAGATGCTGGCCCGGTGCAGATGAGGAAATCCAGACTCCAAGAGGAGAATGGATGCCCTGTGGGTCCCAGAGCTCGAGCGCTGGGAGTGGAACAGTGGGAGTAGGAGGCCTTGTCCATCTTGGGCCTGCTCAGCGCCATGGTGGGGCACAGGTGCTCAGTGGCCAGCACATTCACTCCCGCCCGGTGCTGTAGCAGGCGGATGCTGAGCCCGAGGTGGAGGTGGAGGTGTACMGGCGCGACTCCAAGAAGTTGCCGGGCCTGGGGGACCCCGACATCGACTGGGAGGAGAGTGTGTGCCTGAATCTCATCCTGCAGAAGGTAGGAGCACGGTGGGTGGGTGGAGTTTGCATGGGTGTGAGGGAAGTGCCCCCTCTGCACACTGACCTGTGCTCCCTTCCAGCTGGACTACATGGTGACCTGTGCAGTGTGCACACGTTCTGACGGAGGTGACATTCACATCCATAAGAAGAAATCCCAGGTGAGCCCAGGGTCGAGAGCCCCCAGGCCTCCCACCTGCCACGTCAGTCCAGGCTGCCTGGTGTTTAGGCTGGAAAGACTCCTCCCCCTCCCCGCCCCTCCTCCCTTCCCCTGGGGGGAGAGAGGGTCTGACTGCAGAATGCCTGGGGTCCTGTGTCCCATGCAAGGAGCATGCAACCAGGTCTTGGCACACAGCTCCTCCAGAGTGGCTCCTTGGTTTTGGACAGGCTCTGAGCAGTGTGGCCATACCAGCCCGTACCTGGAGTGGCCCTGGGCCAGCCCGTGAGGTACCACCTCTCTCAGCCCTTGAAATCTGCTTTCTTTCAGCAAGTGTTTGCATCTCCCAGCAAACACCCCATGGACAGCAAAGGGGAAGAGTCCAAGATGAGTTACCCTAACATCTTCTTCATGATTGACAGCTTTGAGGAGGTGAGTTGCTTGCCCTGGCTGCTCCCCAGCTCTGTTCCGGGAGGCGCAGGGCGAGGACCTTCTCCCACAGGAGGTGTGGGGCTGGTGGTGGTCCAGAGGCTGGCCAGCGAGGCCTCTCTTGCTGGTGTCTGACTTGGGGCAGGAGAGCTCACCCAGCCTCATCTAGAAAGTGAGTGTGAATGTCATGGCGTGTCCTGCTGGCCCATGGGGTAGATGACCCAAGGGCTGCTGGGAGGGAGAGCACCTGGCAGACTCACAGTGCGTGCCTCCTGGGCGGCGGGGAGTCTTGGTCGTCTCCCATGACCACAAATGGGCACCTTCCTGCCCCACCATCAGGAAATCCTGGTGTGTCAGAGAGGGTTGGGCTTCAGGAGTCACCTGGACCAAGACTGTGTYTAAAGCTGGGAAAGCCCAGCTCCCTGGGCACAGGGCACTGGGTGGAGCAGAAGGGAAGCCACTGCCTCTCTCTCGAGGCCCTGGATGGTCCCTGTGCTCACCAGGGGTTCCCTGGGAGGGTCCACAAGGAAGGCGGGCAGGTCTTTTGGGGCCTCTGAGCACCTGAGGCTCAGGAGCTGACACCCTCCCCACCTCACACAGCAAAGCTGTTGGCATCTGAGTCTCTGGCTTTAAAACTCACATCTGGGGCTGGGGACAGCTCAGTTGGTAGAGTGCTTGCCTTGCATGCACAAGGCCCTGGGTTCAGTCCCCAACCACCCCCACACACACACACACACACACACACACACACACACACACAATCTGTGTGCCAGCCCCAGGGATAGCAGCTCAGAAAGGCAGCCAGGTGGTCAGTGTGTCAGTGCTGCTGAGCCTTTGACTTGAGCCCAGGGACCAGTTCGCATAGCTGGCCCGGGGAGGTGCCCAGCGGCCAGGCCAAGTGGTAACCTGTCTCACTTGCTTGCAGAAGAAGTGTGACGAGGGGCCTGGCCGTCCTGTGGCCCAGCAGGGGCCGCACCTGTAGTCCTGGGGTTCCTGCAGTCAGCCCTGCCCAGTGGGAGGCTGCCCCAAGTCTGGGGGACTGGGCAGAGCTGGGGGTCAGGACGGCTGTCGCCTTCTCCATCAGTGTCTTCACCTGCAAACTGGGGCTTTGAAGCAGGCTGTCCCTGCAGCTGGGCCCGGCTGCGGTCCCAGTGGTGGCAGCGGACACTCCATATCCCCCCGTCCTCCTTGTGCCCCCTCAGGTGTTCAGTGACATGACCGTGGGGGAAGGAGAGATGGTGTGTGTGGAGCTGGTGGCCAGTGACAAAACCAACATGTTCCAGGGGGTCATCTTCCAGGGCTCCATCCGATACGAGGCGCTCAAGAAGGTGTATGACAACCGAGTGAGTGTCCGCCTGGGCTCCCCCCACCCCCGGCTCCCTGCGTGGTCTCAAGCCTGCCTACGGGCCATGCCTGTCCCCCGGTGCACCTGTGGCCCTGGGCCACGCTCAGCTGGCCCCYGCTGGCCCAGCCTTGCCCTCCGACACAAGGGGGTCTTTCTCTGCTCGCTCCTCACTGTGCCATGAGCCCCTGGCTCTCCCTTGCCTGTTCCTGGGGACAGCCAGCCACAGGGTGAGGAGCCCAGGCTGCTCCTGTGTGGCAGGGCTGCTGGAGACCAGAGCCTCTCCCAGYCTGGGGTAGGGGTCAGTGTTTAGGCCGTGTGTGCTGGTGCCCTGTCCTAGCTTGCTACTGCCCTGTTGTGGCACAGTTTCCAGGGCAGCGAGAATGGCACCAGGGGACCGGAATACCTCCCCACGCTGCACCTGCCAGGCTGGGGTCTGCCCCTTCYCCCACGGGCAGCCCACAGGGATGGTCACCCTGGCTGCTGTGTCCCTAGGGGAGGCCTGAGGAGCAGTCCCCACCACACTGGCTCAGGCCACATCCCTCCTGCTGTAGGTGAGCGTGGCTGCTCGCATGGCCCAGAAGATGTCATTTGGCTTCTACAAGTACAACAACATGGAGTTCGTGCGCATGAAGGGGCCCCAGGGAAAGGGCCATGCCGAGATGGCAGTCAGCCGTGTGTCCACTGGTGACACGTCCCCCTGCGGGACCGAAGAGGACTCCAGCCCAGCTTCACCCATGCATGAGCGGGTAAGGGCTACACAGCTGGGGGAGGGGCCTCCTGTCCCTCGGATTTGCTTCTCACATGTCCCCCACCCCATAGTCCCTGGGAGGTAGGTACCGTCACTCCCACCCAMGAGGAAGCCGAGGCTCAGAGATCTGGGGGCCCTGCCCGAGGCCACACAGGAGGCTGGGCCTGGGCCACAGCTCGTTCTGCTTCTCTGAGCTGTCAGTGCAGCCAGGGGCTGTGGACAGGAGAGTCTGACCAGAAAGCCAGGCCTCGCCCTGTGCGAGCCCAGCTGGACCTGCTGGGTGAGGTGGCCACATGAGACTGGATGTTGAATCAGAGGGAGGTGAGGAGGAGCTGGCCTTCCTCTGCCCACTACGTGGGCAGAGAGCACAAGCCCTGGGGCCGCCGGCTCCTCCTGTGGGTAGGGGGCAGGATCCTACCCACAGGCCTGGAACCCAGGTGGCTGCCCAGGTCACACACCTCTTGGGGACAGCACTGGGCCCTGGGCACTGTCCGTCCCTAGGGCGGAGAGCTGAGGTCAGCAGCAGCTTCACCCCCAGGGCCAGTTGAGACCAGGCTCTGCCCACTGGCTCCCTTGACCCTCCAGAGCGAGGGCCACTCGGAGCCGCGGGTCCTGGAGGAGGCGGCAGTTTGTGCACTGGGCCCAGGGGCAGCCTGCCCAGCCCTTGTCCAAAGACGCTGTGTGCTGGGGACCGTGGTGTGTCTGCCTCTTCCRCTCCAACCCCAGCTCTCTCCTTCAGACACCTGCCTCCAGGTGTGAGGGAGCCTGTGGCCCTCTGGCTGCTGGGGTGCTGGGCTGCGGCCTCAGGTGTGTGTGTCACGGCCCGGGAGCTTGAGGCGAGGGAGCACTGTGCTTTGATTCTGTAAGAAGGTCTTAACCTCGATTGTCTCCAGGGCTCAGGGCCGGCTTTTCTCTCTCCTCACAAGCTCTTCCCTGCTCCCGTCAGTGTGTTTGTGAGACAGACAGATGCTGCTGCTCGGGAAGATGGTGGAGTCCAGGTGGCCTCTTGTCCCAGGAACGGAGGCCGTTCATATTTCTGAGATAAGGGGTCTGATTTTTCCTGGCCCTAGACTGCCATTGGGACTCTGAAAAGATGGGTGTAGCTAGTGTTCATGTGGAGTTGTGGCCTGGTCCCTGGGCTGGACCAGCTGGGTGCCGAGTGGCCACAGACGTGTCACCAGGCCTGCCCARCCTCGATTCCCCAGGTGGTGTGGCTGTGAGGGGTGAGGCAGCCCCAGACCCTGGTAGCAGGAGGCCCTGGGCGCTGGGGTCACACGGGCCAGCAGCCAGGCCTGAGCTCTGGGGACCCTGCTCTTKGCTGCCTGTCACATGTCCTCTTAGGCCCGAGGCCACCTGTGACCAGCGCGGACCACGAATGCAGACTGTGTGCTGCAGCTTCTGTGTCTGTTCTGTGTCTTTTAAACCTTCGCGGCTGGGGAGGACCGTCCGGAGCCCAGCGGCCGCGGGACTTTGGTGGATGTCGGAGCTGTGACGAGGAGCCGACGGGCTCTCGAAGCCTCAGTCCCAGCCCATCTTGCCGCCCTGATTCTTGTTTGCATGGGGAGGAGGGAGGAGATGGGCCAAGTTCCCTCTGCCTGGAACGCCCTTCCCCCCCTTCTTCACCTGGCGAACTCCTACTCGTCCTTCAAGACCCAGCTGAAGCGCGCCTCCTCCAAGAAGCCTACCCCGATTCCCCAGGCTGCCAGTCCCTTCTGCCTCTGTGCTCCTGTGTCCTGTGCTTCCCGTTCTCTGTCTCAGTGGCCAGCATGCCGTCTGTGGTTGTCACTCTCTGAGTCTGGCACCCCCAACAGACTGTGAGCTCCTTGAGGGCAGGGACCTGTGTCTGTGCCTGTGTGTGCCAGCCTGGCCTCAGYGGCTGTGGACGTCAGGAGGAGGGGACCAGTGTGCTCTGGCGGGAGGAGTGGAGATGAGCTGTATCCTGCTTCTCAGGAAAGGGACTGGAGTCAGAGGGTGGGGCCTCACAGTGGGAGGACACTAGGGGGTGACCTGGACTGCAGTCCTGTTTGCCGTCAGGCCTCTGGCTGACTTAGGCAAGTCACGGCCGCTGTCTCGCCTTCCTTTCCTGATGGTCAGATGGGCCAACTCCAGCCCCTGGCCTGTAGTCAAGGCTCCAGGGGGCGGGTGGGGCTCGGGCTTGATCCCTGGTTGCCCCTGTCACCCTCCCTGGGTGGAGGCCAGGAAGAGGCACCCTGCATCCTTCCTGGTGTCGGTGGGCTTCCTCCTTGGAGGGCACTGCAGCCAGGCGTCCTGCCCTTGCCTGGTGGCTGCACTTGAGCCAGAGCCAGCAGCGGCAGCCCAGTGGCCACTCCCCTGGGGCTCAGAGCTGGGCTGTTTGAGGGACAGGATGTGAGCGGCCCTGGGGCCCTCAGACTGCGGCTGCTCTGGCTGCTCCAGTGACTTGGGCTCCTTGTTCCCAGGTGACCTCCTTCAGCACCCCCCCAACCCCGGAGCGGAACAACCGGCCTGCCTTCTTCTCCCCGTCCCTCAAGAGGAAGGTGCCCCGGAACCGCATCGCCGAGATGAAGAAGTCTCACTCCGCCAACGACAGCGAGGAGTTTTTCCGGGAGGACGACAGTGGAGGTGAGCCTGGCCCCAAGGCTCGGCGGCTGCGCCGTGGGGGCGCTGGCCGGGGTCTGGGAGTGCTGTGCAGATAGCCGCGTGCCACCTGGGTCGGGGCAGCCGCTGCACACAGCCCAGCGGGCACTCAGCTAGTCCTGGCTCTGGTCCTGTTCACTACTGTGCTGTCATAGCCAGCGGGCCTCACGCTGGGACCTTCCGTGGTGGGTGTGTCTCAGGGTCGCCCCCATCTCTGCTCAACGCCCTGTTCTCCAGGGACAGAATCACAACTTGCAGGACCCCCTCAGGCTCCCGCCCACAGCCTCCAGGGCAGCTCTGCCCAGTGTCCAGAGGCCCCAGGTCCCTCAGCCGACTGTGCCTCTCACTGCCAGCCCCTTCTCTGTGTCTTCTCAGTGACTACTGCTGCCAGCAAGCTGTGCAGCCAAACAGCGGGGTCCTCTTCTGTCCATGGTCAGGGAGGCCACCKGAGGGCTTAGAAGTGGACTTCCAGCACGGGGAGGGAGGTCCTGCACACTCTGCTGGTGGGGGCTGAGTGTCCCTCAAGGCCRGGCCAGCGGGTGTGTGCCAGCCCATGCCGGATCGTGTGAGAGCAGAAGTTCCAGGAGCACCGTCCCACGGGGGCCCCAAGGGAGCAGGCGGCAGCACTGATGGGGCTTGGAAGCTGTCCTTGTCCTGACCCTAACCCAGGGCCATGACCTTGACCTGCTTGGACCAGCCTCCCCTCCACTGGCTTCTTCCCAGCTCAGTGGGAAGTGCCCGCAGCACCTGCTCTGCCTCCAGGGGCAGCTCTCCTGCTGGGCCCAGAGCACTGTGTCCTGCTGCCCCGTGGCCTGCAGCTGGCAGGGCCTAGTTCGAGGGTCAGACAGGGCACAGGGAAGCAGAAACCCTCAAGGAGACTCAGCTAGATACCGAGAAGGGGAGGYTGGGAGCAGCCAGGGAAGTCTCCCTGGAGGCAGAGGGTGGGAGGAGGGGCTTGAAGGTGAGGAGGCAGCAGCTCTGGGGTGCATGGGTGCTGTGGGGGCCGTCAGGAGTGCCCAGGACACAGCCGAGGGGGTCCTGGCCTGGACTGGGGGTTTGCTCCTGCAGCTCCTGCCGAGTCCCCACTGCTGGGACCCTGATCTGGTTTTCTGACCTCCAGCCGACCTGCACAATGCAACCAATCTGCGGTCCCGGTCCCTGTCTGGCACGGGACGGTCCCTGGTCGGGTCCTGGCTGAAACTGAACAGAGCCGATGGGAACTTCCTTCTCTATGCACACTTGACATACGTCACTTTGCCGCTGCATCGAATCTTAACAGGTGAGGTGGTGGGGGCGGAGGTCAGAGCCCCTTCTCCGMAGTTGTCCAGACCCAGGGTCCTGTGGCTCGGGGCCGTCTCCCCGCACTGCTCACCCCTGCAGGGTCGGGCCTCCTGCTCCAGGCTTCAGATGGGCTACAGCTGTCCCCAAACCAGGGTGCCCCTTTGCACACCTGCCTGCACTTCTTGCTGTCCCTCTTGAATGGCTGCAGTTCTGGGTGTCATGTGGGTGGGGTTTGGCTCCCGGCCTGCAGCCTCSAGGGGAGCCCTGGAGTGTGCTGCTCCTTCCTCGCCCTTTCCAGGCTCTGCAGCTGCTCTGGGCACCTTTCCGCAGGGCAGGTGATGGTGTGTGGCCACTGTGGGCTCCTGCTAGGACCCGTTGTGGCCAGGCATGGTGGTCGAGTGTCCCTGACCCCCCTGCCCCTCCCTGCTGGCCCTAGACATCCTGGAAGTCCGGCAGAAGCCCATCCTGATGACCTAGAGTGCGTGCAGCCCGCTCGGAGCCCCGGCCCTGCTCAGCCCTGGGAGTGCTGCCAAGTGCCTACCTGTCACCGCCACCGGGGTCTTCTGTGACAAGCCAGTGCTGGAGCCACAGCCAGGCGGGGCCACTCGACTCCCGGGGCCAGGGCCGACTCTAGAACACCAGCCCAAACTGAAGTGCCTCGTACTCCTCCCTCTGGCTCTCCCGCCCTGTGCCGCCACTCGCCCGCCTCTGGAGAGCCCTCTGCATCCAGMGGCCAGAGACACCAAGAGGCCATAGGATAGCCAGCATCCAGAATGTGCCCAGACCCACTGACCTGGCTCACAGCTGACAGAGCCGGACCCACACCCGGGCGCTCCGTGGTCAGACTTTGTGTCCTTAGGGAAGCCCAGCTGAGGATTTTGCAAAGGGGTCCCGACACACCTGGGCCTCCAGCTAGTCCAGCTCAGCCTCCCCTAGTCACCACTGTCATAATAGGTTACTGCAGGAAGACGGGGAAGATGGGAACTTGCTGTTGGACGCTTTGCCCTGGGCTGGAGCACCTCACTCACACCCAGTTCCAGAACYGCCTGAGCCAAGCAGATCGCCCTGATTCCGCCAGAATGGCCTTTCGCTTCCAGCCAAAGAACACCACCAACACACAACCTCCGACCCGGACGCGTCCCGTTCTGGGCCTCGGCTGGAGGGTCCCCTGGAATTTGGATTCTTTGGGCAGGTGGGAGGGCTTGGTGGTCAGTGTCTGATGTGGGCTGGGGTTGGCCTCCCCTCAGGAAGGTTCTAGGCATACCCGCTGTCCTGAGGCCGGAGGGGGCTGGGCATCATTTCCTGTCCTTGGTGGTCTTTGGCTAGTGTGCTGGCCCCTCAGACCAGCTCCTTGGGCAGAGTGGGGCTCAGCTGGGTGTGCACGGCAGGTGCAGYGGTCGGTGTGCGGGCTGCCAGCCTGGCCTTGCCCTAGCGCGAAGGAGCCGCATCTGGTGACGCGCAGTGTGCTCTCGTGAGCAGAGGCCTCCCCACCCAACAGGGAATAAACTGGAAGCTGGGTCTCTCTGTTGCTGTTTTGGTTTGAAGTCCCCCATACTGGAGGGCACCAGTCGTTTAAGACCCTCTGCAGGCCGCAGAGGCAGACGGGAGCATGTCTTCCTGCCTCTGCGTTCTGCGGGCTCCGGGAATGGGGCACCACTTCGGGGCTTTCTCCAGATTTTGTATATTGTTATTAAAAGCGAGCTGTTGCATTTCACCCTGCCTCCGTCTGCCCGCTGTGACCGTGGCCGGTTCCACCTACCTCACTCCATCTCCAGGGTTCAGTGCACCACGGGTCAGGGCGCCGTCGGTCCTTCTGCCTGGGGTGGGTTGGTCATGGGGCGGCTGCTCCAGAGGCTCGCCACCTCTCCCCCTTTGTAATGACCTGTGTCAGTGTGGACCTCCAGCAGCGTCCGGCCCAGGCTGGAGCTGCAGCTCAGCTCTGCTGGTTGCGCCTAGCCAGCGTCCTAGGGCAGCAGAGTCAGGTCAGGCCCCAGAGTGCCTGCGCAGAGCCCTGTCYAGCACGCTCTTCTCCAGGGGTGCCTGATGCCGCTCCCATCTGTCCAGGATGGCCAAAATACACCTCCTGCCTCAAGAACTTTCTCCCTGCTCCTTCTGGGCTGTGGACTTGTGGACTGGGTCTCGGAGAAGTAAAGCCCTGATGTGTCTTCCATGGAAGGACAAGGCAGTCCAGGGCGGCAGCAGGTAGTGGGTCCCCACTGTAAGGTGGGGTAGCTGTGAGGAGCTGCTGAAGGCACGTGGGAAAGTGCTTGCTGCACAGGTCACGAGGTGCAGATGCGATTTAGGTCACACCTGTGGTGTAAGGCGCGTGAACAGGGCACGTGGTGGCGTGGAGCACCAACGCCAACACTTAGGTTGGGTTGTTGTTCCCATCTTAGGCGAGGAGGCAGCTGGAGGGGCTCAGAGCGCTGCCAGCACTGCGCCACAAGCAGTGGTGACAGAGTCAAGCTGGGCTTCAGCTGCAGCGTGGCCCACAGCRCGCTGCCCGGGACACGCAGGCACTCTGTCCTCAACCCGGAAGCCCTTCCCCAAGGGGACTTCTGAGGCCTGGCCTCCAACACGCTCAGGGGCACTTGACAGCCAGACTTGAGCTGTCACTCCAAGTGACAAATGCTGGCTGGAACCAGAGCCCACCAGCCCCAGGTGGCACGCTCTTGCTTCTTGAAGGCCACCTTTAGCTTTTCTGGGAATGCCTGTCTCCTGAAGAGTGGAGGGTGACAGAAGCAAGCATACAGGTCCCCACTGGGGACCTGGAAGCTTTCCTTTGAGGAAACTT